TTTCTCTGTTTTCTGATATAACTGAGGAAGCAAGGTCTGAGGTGGCTACAGCCATCTGGCCGCCACATGAGAAGCCAAGCTGAAGATAAACCCACACGTGGTGCCACGGAGGCCTAAGGAGATCGATGGAGTCCTCAACCAAGCAGCCCCTGAAGCCAACCCCGTCCCTGGACTCTATACAGGAACCAGTAATCTCCACTTCTGCTTATGTGAATTTGGGTTGGATTTTTTTTTTTTTTTAGCACTTGCAACTAAAAGAATCCAAAGACATCAAGCCCATTTTGTCCAAGGTCAAAATCAAATTTACTTCCAATGCTCTTTGTTGGGCAAATCCTATAAAACTCTCCCTTCATGGAGAGCTCTAAAGCCAGAGAAAGGAGCATCTGCTTGCTTTACGAGTGGCCTTGGAGGTACACGTTTCAGACCCATCAAAGTGCCTACTTATCTGCAAAGGGCCTCCTGCCTCTGGCACACTTGATTTTGCCCATCTTTTCAACCCTGGGACAGCTCATGATCACTCACAAACAAAACACTTCACACTCATCTCCACACACTAAATCCCCTGAAAAGAGAAAACTCTCAGGTGGGTAAAATGGGGCTGTCCTTCCAGGCAGAAGAACCTCGTGAGCAACAGTAGAACCGAGGGCAGTGCCCAGGAGAGGGCTGATCCGCTGAGCCAGGACGAGGGACCAGGCTGGACGATGGTTGCCCTCCCTTGGAAATAAATAAGCTCTGGCCACAAAATTATGAGGCAGAGTGCTTTCTGAAGCTAATTTCTTTTAAAGCCCTTCACCCATCAGGATGATTGTTAAAGCAAATCAATCGCTTCTAAAAATCAGAATTTGCTCCTATTAATCAGAGTGTTATGTTAAAGCCGCAGAAATATTATATTAAATCTGTGCTACAGCTCAAAGTTGCATGGCGTCAAGATTACGCTTCTCTTCAAGCACGAGGGACACCGAATTTAACGCGGAGGCTGCAGCCTGGCTCCCCGGGTGCTTTAATGAATCTTTAAAGTGACCCAGAATGCCACGGTCCTAAACGATGAGCTGGCCAGGACAGGGTGTCAGCCATCACCCCTCCATGAGGCCAATTACAGTTCAGTGATTTTGGGGGGCTCAGGATGAATCATTTGAGAAACACTCGTCCGAGGATGCGGTCTTGGAGAAGCCTGACCTCTGAGGTCCTGGGACTTCTAAGCAGGGCTGGAAATATCCACAGCCTTCTTTGGCAGGCACCTGCTCAGCCCGAGACACAAAGTTCATTAACCAGCTACAACAGGCACTGTGGGCTGCCAACCCAATCAATATTTTTTCTTGCTCTCTTCTTCCCTAACAGAACCCCAACTGGGTGGTAGCAGTAGGAACAATGTACAACGTGTTCCACTAAAGGACTAACATTCTCAGGCTCCCCTGGTGACTGGGTGACAAAGTGCTGGCCAAAGAGACATAAGAAGGATTACTGGGTGGGCATCCCAGTGAAAGCTCCTTAAAAGAAGGGCTGACACCACCGGCAGGTACTCTTTCCCACCCCTCACCATTCTTCGTCCTGCTTAAAATATGCAAGTGATGACTGGTGCTATGGCAACCATCTTGGGACCATGTGGCTACCTGGACACTGGAAACCCTGTTCTAAGGACGGCAGGGCAGAAAGACAGAAGGAGCCTGAGCTGTTGTAGAACTACCATCCTGGCCTTGGACTGCCTGCCTGCCTGCCTTGAACTGTTAAAAGAGAGAAAAACAACTCCTTGTTTAAGCCATTGTTAGTTTGTTCTCTGACACTAGCAGTCAAACCCATTCTGGCATCAGACTGGCCAATATATTGAAACCGAGTGTTATTATTGATCAGGTATGCCACATTCACCTCCAGCCACCTTTGGCAATTAGAACGTTCTAACTGAATGCGTGGGTCTGTGCTCTAATTGAGGGAGTATTGACCGAGGGGCACCTTCATTGAGTCGAGAGCTGGAAAGAGATACAAAGGAACCACAAGATCCAAGCCCTGCCCTCCAAGACCTTACAGTCTAAAGAAGAGGCAGGTCACAGCCTCAGCAAAAGGTTTCTAACAGCACAGAGACACGCACGATGCACTGCCCCAGCTGCAGGGCAAGGCTGTGAGAGTTCAAAGAAGGGAAAATCTGCTTGGCTGGGGGCCGCACCAAGAAGGATGCAGGCTTGGTGTGGAGCAGCGCAGCTAAGAGGAAGGCAGGGCAGGAGCCACTCCAGGAGAGCAATCACTGGGGCAGAAGTTTAGACTCAGCGATGAAAGTGTGCGAGAGAATGGGAGTTCTCTCTGGGAAGAACAGAAGGTCCACTGAGGCAGGATGAGGGGGTGCCAGGATGAAGAGTTTGGACTTGACCCTCCAGAGGCAACAGAGAAATAATATCAGCATGGGGCTGACCTGGGGTGTCGGGAGGGAAGGACGTGGTGAGGACAGGACTGAGCATAATAGCAAGCTGAGTCTCCAGAGAGGGGACAGGCTGTGCCCTTCGGTCCTGGGATGTTCTGAGTGGGGAGCAGCAGAGCTCAGTGGCTCTGGCCAGTGTGGTACATGGGACAACAGTGACAACAGCACCGCCACGGTCCTCCCAGCTGAGAGCCACGGCTGACAGCCAGAGGGCCAGAGCAAGCCAACGACACACATCAGCTCTCCTCCCCTCCCCTCTCCCCGTCCTCCAGGCAGGCTCCTCCCACGCCCCAGAGAAAACTGCAGAGAGTGAATCTGGCATCCACCTGCAAACAAGGATGCTAGCCCCGATCCAACAGAGTCTGGGATTCCAGACCTAGGATCGTGGTGGCTTAGAAGGGGACTTCCCCTGCCATCAGGAAGTCACAAAATTCTAGGACAGTATGGGCTCCTGAAAGGCTCTTCATGCATAATCTCACCCACTGGTTTTCAAACTGAGTTCCACTGGGCAGCAAGCTCCACTGTACACAAAGGGGATGCTGATCAGCCCCAAACGACTCTGCCTTTTCATGCTTCATTTATTGAGGCTCCCAGAAAAACCGCACGGCAAACAAAAGGGTTACTACAAAGTCTGAAAACCACTGACAACCCAACTCCCTCCCTCGTTTACCAGATGAAGAGACAGGGACTCATAGAACCCTGCATGCCACTCCTTCCTACCCCCATTGGTCCTGCACTGACTCGGTCAATGTTTACACTCTCTGAGCAGCCTCACAAGGGTCGGGCAGTGACATTCTCATTCGCTGCTGGACCCCCAGTCCCTGGCTCGAAGCCTGCCGAGAAGCAGATGTTTCACAAGCACCTGCTACGGCACCGTGGACAAACGGAGCTGGAGGGGCCCCAGCGCAACAGGGCGGAGCCATCGTCACCCAACCCCAGTCCACACCTACAGCTTGGCGAGGTCCAGTCACTGCAGGTGACAGCGCTCAGGCGCGTAGTCACAGAGCCTCCTGACTCCTCTGCTCACAGAGCTCCTAGCAACCTGTGACAGGGCTTGGAGTCTGTGCCCAGCCCTTCCCGGGGCCGCTGTCACAGCCTCCGTTGCAGCCCATGTCACCCTGGGTGTGAGCAATGGTGTGAGCTTCTCAAGGGCACCCACTGCAGCATGCTCATCTTCGTCTCTCCGGCACCCAGCCTGGCCAAGAACGGGCACTCGGCACTGCCCTCTGTGTCTCTTCACTATTCCCTCCTTTGTGTAAACACTTGGCAAATTTTGCAAAACACACTTGGGGACATGCAGACTGTAAAGTGACTTAGCTAGAAAAGGGCTCCATCCTGGGAGGTCTCCAGTGAATCGAGAGAGAGAGAGAGAGAGAGAGAGAGAGAGAGAGAGAGAGAGAGAATGTGTGTGTGCGTGTGTTTCCTTGCCTACTGCTCATTTTTTTTCTTCTCTCTAAAATGGGAAGTTTGGCCACTTCATCAATTCCCAAGGGTTGCATCAATGCTTCGAGTAGCTGTAGGAAAAAGGAGCAGCGAACTGTAAAAACAAGAAATCACATTGCAGGCACCAATTGTTGTTCCCTTCTCTATCTGCAGATGTCTGAACCTCCCCATCTTCCTGTCCAGATTCCTAGACAGCACGTAGCACCATCCACAGGGAAGAGGGAAGAAACAGGAGAGGGCTCACTGTTTGGTTTTGTTACAGTTTTGCACTAGATTCTGTGTATTGTTGACAACGATATAGCACAGGTGCGAGCGTGCGTGTCAGTACGTGACAGATGCCTTGGTCAGGGAACGAAACTCTCTGAGTGACTTTCCTGAGGCCAATCTTGTCTGGGCTTCCTTTTACCACAAGCACAGGAACATTTTTTTCCACCAGACAACTCAGTTCCTGGGCCTTCTTGCACTCAAGAAAATATCCCACACCTTAAAAGTAAAAATCATCAGCTCCAAAACAGTATTCTTTAAAACTGCAATGGCATGATTAATAACCATATAACTAAGTGACTGACACTCTCAATGTGAAGTCAATATCATGAATTGTTGACTTCAGTAGTCACAACAATTTCATCACGTTTGGGAAAAAAAGATTTCTCTTTCATGATAATGGCAGAGAAACCAGAGGCCACCCCCCCAGAAGATAAGCATGATATACACACAGCAAAGTAATTCCAAAAGCAAAACCATCACGAATGTTTTCTAGCCATAAATGTGAATTTCGTGGTTTGTGTTTAAGTGTGACACAGGACAGGGCCTCCACAGACAAGGAGGCCAGAGTCTCTGAAGAAGTTAGAATTGCCTACTTGACGGTCTGCAAATATCAGCTAGTAAAACCCAACCCCAACTCAAAAGCCGTGGAAAATGTGTAATTCTGACAATTCTGCTGAGCTAATACAGGCGCAAGCACGTGCAACACACATACACACACGTGCAGGCATGCACACACACACACGTACACACACACGGGCTGCCTGTTTCCCAGGGACTCCCGAAATAACAAATACTTCCCATCACTTCACCCAAATGAAAACACACTGAAGCCTTCCTTGATGTATGATGTACAATCAATAACCTCCTACTTCTCCTTTCATAGAAAACTCATTTTAAGGAAAACATGATGAGTGATTAAGATCCATAACAGAGGCCCTGCGAACAGAATACATAAGGACTTTTGACTATGGCAGTCCCTTCAACGGAAAACCTTTGGCAAAGTGAAAGCAAAAGAAGGTAGGAAGCCTGTCTAGAGGCATGCGTCTCGCCGGGCAGGCCTCATCTTTTCAAGTACCCAGTGCCCCCCGGGACGACCTCTTTCGCGTGGGAGCAGAACGGGTCTGCAGCTAAGCCGCGGCACACGGGGCTGTGTGAGCCTCTGCACTCGTGTTTTCCTTCAGAAAGAGCTTGACCAGGCAGGGCCACGGGCTCCTCCACGAAGGCCCACGACGGGGACACCCAGGATGGCAGCCCATCCTTTCTGGGCCGGTGGGAGGTTGGCTAAGGGATGTCTGTGTTCCGCCGAGCCCAGCTGAAACATTGGTGACCCAGAGGTGACTTCCTCCCCACAGCCCTCCTCTCCTTTCTGAGCAGGTATTCCATGAACTTCCTGAACTTCAAGCAGCAGCATCTGAGGGCCCAAATCAGAATGTTCTAGATTGCCAGGCACGGAGGCATGCACCTGTAGCCCCAGCTACTCGGGAGGCTAAGGCAGGAGGATCGCCAAAACCCAGAAGTTCAAGGCTGTAGAAGACTGTAGTGTACAGTGATCACGCCTGTGAATAGCCATTGCACTCTAGCCTGGGCAACATAGTGAGATGCTCTCTCTAATTAATTAATTATTTAAATGTTCTGGATAGCCATGAGGAGCCCCCCCCTCATAGCTGCTGATGGAAGGGTGGGGCCAGGGTCAGGCTCAAGGTTCCATCAATTAGAGGCTACAGGGCAGGGATAGAATGACCTCATATGTCCAAGAGTTGTGGAATCTAAAGGCTGAGGTGACCTCCATATCCTGATTAGCCTTCAGATGGGTCCTCCTGTGTACTCCCCCAACCTTGGAATATTCAGTCCAGGTCCTCAAAATTATTTGAGCACAAACAGGGTGCACACAGTGGTATTGGGAAGCACAGAAAGAGCACTGGACTAGGAGTCAGGCGTCTGCCCAGGCTGCCCCTTACTCAGTAACCCTGAGCAAGATACTTCCCCTCTCCCACACTCAGCTTCTTCTTGGGTGAATTAGGCTACTAATACCTACCCCCTACCGCATAGGGCTGTTGCGAATATCAATAGAAATAATTTATAAGACTTCGTAAGCTATGCAAGTCTAAAGAATTAATAATAATAAAGTGTTGTGGGGTTCAAAGTTACAGTCAGTGTAGCATGATAAATATTAAACATCTCTTCCCATCTTCCAGTGCCCCCGCGTCCATTCACTCAATTGGCAGGTGACTAGCCGGGCATGGTGGCGCATGCCTGTAGTCCCAGCTACTCGGGAGGCTGAGGCAGTAGGATCGCTGAGCCCCGGAGATTGAGGTTGCTGTGAGCCAGGCTGACGCCACGGCACTCACTCTAGCCTGGGCAACAAAGTGAGACTCTGTCTCAAAAAAAAAAAAAAAAAAAAAAAAAAAAATTGGCAGGTGAGTTCGGTCCCTGGGGAAGGGGGAAGAAGAGGCAGACCCCAGGAAGTCAGTCAGACATTAGCTTAAACCAGCTCAGATAAAGTATGTGAATCAATAAGTGTCATAGTGCTCTGGAAAAAAAAAAAATGGTTCTGGTTTTCCCAATCACAAAACTGAACTAGAGATTGGCGACGGTACATGCTTTCCCTGTTACACCAGTGCCTGGCACTCAGTAGGCAATGAACTAATTTCCCAAATGAAGGATTAGAAGGAGAGATGGAGAAAGAACAGCAGGACCACAAACAACAACTCATACGGGAGAGGATTAGGGAGAGGATTAGGCAAGTATCTGCTTTATTTGTCAATTCCACATCACCAATCTGATCAAATCAATTGATTGTTCTCCTGATGGCTGATTTCTCCCCCCAATGAAATTGATCAGCTGTGTTAGCACTGTCCAGAAACAGTCTTGGTATCATCAGAGCCTTAAAGGAAGGTATTTTTTTTGAGACAGGGTCTTGCTCTGTTGCCCAGGCTAGACTGCAGTGGCACGATCACAGCACACGGCAACCTTTTGGGCTCAAGTGATCCTCCCACCTCAGCCTCCTGAGTAGCTGGGACTACAGTTACACGCCACCATGCCTGGTTAATTTTTTTATTTTTTGTAGAGATGAGATCTCACTATGTTGCTCAGGCTAGTTTCAAACTCCTGACTCAAGCAATCCTTCTGCCTCGGCCTCCCAAAGTGCTAGGATTACAGGCGTGAGCCGCTGTGTCTGGCCTGAGCCCTTAAGGAATTTTCAATGCATCATGATGCACCCCTACCATATGTGGCCACCATGGTTAGCAAGAGAGTCTGGTGGCTGGGTGGGAACCCCAGCTCCTTCACTCCTACTGCATGCCCTTCAGTGAGTCCCTTGGCCCCTCTGAGTCAGTTCCTCGGTTGTGCAGTGGAGCTAATAACACCGACCTCATTGGTGGTATTGGGGGGACTAAGTAAGATGATATTGGGAAAGTGCTCAGCAGGTCTGACACGTGGCTGACTTCCACAAATGGAAACCCGTGTTACAACTAAGGGAAGAGAACGAAGCCTTGTTTCCTATTACCTGGGGTGGCGTGGCATCGTGGAGACACCAACCTGGGAATTCAGAGGGCTGAGATCCAGGCCCACCTGAAAAGCGAGGACATCCTGCCTCTCAGACTCAGGACTTGTATCAGCCACCAGACCTGCTCACCTGCCAGCAGCTCTGCGACCCCACAAAGGCCTATTAATTGCCCTGGTTCTCAGCATCTAGTTTGCAAAATCCATCTTAGAGCCAGACTGAAGGCAGCAGGGCTACACTAGGAGAACTGTGAGGCCTCCTTCCAGCTCTCGGACCCAAGAGTCTACGCAGACACGGCTTTCGACTTTGAATTAGGGCAAGGTGCCGTCTCATGTGCAGAAACTGGGTACAAAGGAATAATGAGCGATCACTTCCTTTCTGTTCTTCAAAGAGAAAAAAAGCTTTGAAAGGGAGAGTTTTTTGGGGCCAAGAATGGGAGAGTTTTTCGGGGCCAAGAATTCAGAAATACAGAGGAAGACGCCCAGCCAGTTAGCCAATGGTTAGCGATGGGCTCTTGGTTTGCCTGTTAGGGAAGCCCCATTAATTCACAGCTCATTTCGCAGGCCAGAAATACTCGCTCGGTACACACTATGTGCCGGCAGGGTTCTAAGTGCTGGGGTGATGCCCGTGCATAAAACAGACAGGTACCCCTGGCTCACACGGAGCTTACATTCTATGTCCTCATTCACTCATTGAACAAATATGCGTAGACACGCAGAGATGACCTACAAAGATTAACAGGTTGGTATAATCTGCTGAGCGCTGTGATAGAGGTTGTAGATGACTGGGGGAGGATAGTCCCAACCATAATGGCCACCACGTATCAAGCGCCCACTGCCACACACTAAGTGCTAATGATCATCATGTCATTTGGTGTTATCCCAAACACGCCTACGAGGTGGGCACGCTTCCAAGGGAAAAACCGAGTCTCAGAGAGAGTCTGTCCTTGGTGGCAAAGGTGTCACCAGGAGGGTGACACTGGGATTCCCACCCCGGCTGTCTGACCGCAGACCCTTGATCCTAACTATTAATACTACATGATGCTCCCTCCCCTTAAAACCAACCAGATTAGACATTTTGGTGAGTAAATAACTTGCGCTGCACAAGTCACACTATCCCGAAGTCACCATTGGCCTACATCAGGGTTTGGGGATTCAGGACTGATCCTTTCTGTTTATGTAAAATTGCCTTAGCCACAAAATTTCTTGAGAAAAAAAAACCAAACCAACAAACCTCCTTTAGGTACAGAAGTTTTTAAACCTCAGACCTTCGCGAGCCAGAGGTGAATGTGCCGACTTTGACAGCTGAGAACAGGCACTTTGGCACAGAGGGTCGGGACTGTCTGGCTGGACAGGCTATTTTTGGTTCAGAGCTGGCTTTGATGAGTTCCACCTCTGCTCCCTCCAATCAGAAATGCCACCTGGGAGGTGAGGATGCAGCCATGAAGGAGGAACAAAAGGAGCTTTGCATCAGGAAAAAAGCAGGCTGCAAATGATTGTGGGCAGGAGGAGGGGAGGGTCATCTTCAACTCCAAGTCATCCAGTAGCCGGACCCTGAATTCTACCAGTTCGGTTTATGTCCAGTCGTGGTTCTCCTCACTCCCTGTCTGCTCTCTTCTATCCCTTCGGGCCCTGGAGCCCTGCCAGGACTCCAAGCAGAGCACTCACCTTCCTCTCCCCTCCCCAGCCCCGCCTCACTCACTGATTCTCCGACACACCTTCCCAGCTTGTCTCATTGGCAGAAGCAAAGCACAGATCCCAGCTCCCTGGGTAGCCTGAGCCTCTCTGGATGCCAGAGCAGGAAGGGCTCGCTCCACATCCAGGCCAGTGCTTTGCAAACTCCGTGCGTCTTGTGCAAAAGCCCGACATGCTAACACATGAACAGATACAAGGGCAGCCACCCTGGTGAAGTGTGTTGGGGGCTGGGGGGCGGGGGAAGCCGCCCAGGCACTTGGCGGAGCTCTAACTGAAATCACTCCTTGGCCTAATCTCCCCGGTTTACAGATGACATAACATACTAAGGGCACTGTCCCTCCATCCCCTTGAGAAAATGTCACCAACACTCTCCTGGCTCATTAGGGTTAGTTGGTTCCCATTAAGCACACGGATGCTACTTCTTTGATGGGCCTGAAAGAGTCCCCGAGGGTTGCCGGCAGAAATACTCCCCCGGCTTTAGGGGAGCCAGGAGTGTAACCACCTCGAATGCCACCGGACAACAGCTGGCCACCTCCTCTTCCGGGATTCACTGTCATCCGTTGACTTTTAGGACACTCCTGGTTCACCCTCCTCTGCCTCTTCTGCTGGCTGCCCCTCTCTGGCTCAAGGAAGAGCTCAGACCTCAGTCCTCTTGTCTCTTTTCCACTCACTTTATTGGTGACTCTGGCCCATCTCATGGCTTTAAAAACCATCCACACGCTCTCGACTTCCAAATTTATTATCTCCAAACCATCCTGCCTCCTGAACACAAACCGACAATTATCCAACTGCCTAGTTACCATCTCCACCTGAATATCGAAAAGGCACCTCTAACTTAGCGTGTCCCAACCTGGACTCCTGCTGGCCTCGCCGTCTCTAGCTTGCTCTTTCTGCGGGCTACGGCAACTCCCTCCTTCCCGCTGCGCGGGCCAGGCACGCTTGAGTCACCGTTCCTTCTCTTGTTCCCTTACACCCCACACCCAACGCATCAACACAATCTTGTCCCCACCTTGTAGTTATGGACAGAAGCCAACCCCTTCCCAGCACACCTCCACTGCCACCACCCTGGCGAGGCCGCCAGCCTCCGCCACCTGATTCTCACGAGAGCCTCCCCACCCTGGTCTCCTGGCCTGTGATCACCCTTGCTCCTCTGGCGTCGGTTTTCAGCCAGCAGCCAAAGTGACCCTTTTACTCATCGCTCAGACCTGCCAATCCTCACTCAAACCCTGCAGTGGCTTCCCAGTTCTCTAAGAATAAAAGCCAAAGTCGACAATGGCCTAAGAAGACCTACCCAGACCTGGCTTCTGATTCACCTCTTACCTTCTTGGCTCACTCATGCTTCTCGCCCACAATGGCTTCTTGGCTGTCCCTGCCTCAGGGCCTGTGCACTGGCTGTTCCCTCCGCCTGCAGCACTCTTGCCCAGATACCGACATTACGGATTCCCTTACCTCCTTCTGCACCTTCAAAGTGAGGCCACTCTGACTACACTCTAATCACAACTTACTACCCCCAGCCCTCCCAATCCCCCTTACTCCGATTCATTTTTTCCATGGCAAGTGGCACCTTCTAACACGCTATGTCCTTTACTTACACAGTATCTTTATTGTTTAGGGTCTCCCCCAACTAGAATGTAAGTTCTGTGAAGGCAACAATTTTGTCTATGGAACTAATATATGCTAAGTATCTAGAACCACACTCATACATAGCAGCCTCAATAAATACTTGGTGAATATTTTACAGTTTGTAGAGCACTTTTATATCTGATGACTCCTTTGAGCCTCAAAACAATCTTGGAAAGCAGTTATATTTATTATCTCTACTTTTTAGATGAGGGAACAAGTCCAGAGAGGTTAAGTCACTTGCCTAAGATCACACAGCTTGTTCCAGAGTGGGCCTCATGCCCTCTTCTGTCTGGCCTTAAACCTTGGAGCGTTGTCTCATCTGACCACTCTGGTGCAATGTCTCCAAAGCCCAGGCCCCAACCAGCTCTCTCCTGCCTCCCCAAACTCCCACCTGGCTTGCAGGTGAGCATATTTGCAGGTGCAATGCCCAGGCTGCTTCCCTTGTCCCACAGGAGCCCATGAACTCACTCCTCGTCTCTACAGACCGCTCAACATGGACACATCAGGACAGCTTCTGACCTCAAAACCCTCCTCCGGAGCACAGGAGGGAGAGTGAGACGCTGCCCCTGCCCCGGCCCTCTGTTCACACACATCACAACAGCTGGACATCCTGTAATGAGGGAGGGCGAGAAGGCAGCAGGGAGGTGGGAGAGACCCTGTGCAGAACAAGCAGCAGCTCTCCTTGTTCTGCCTAACAACCACGGGCTGAAATGTGAGGTCGCTAAGTGCAACTTAATAACTGCTTCTGGCCTCCTGCTGAACTCTCTTCCTGGCCTAAGCAGCAGGCACAGCTATACCCGCGAGTTTCTTTCTTAGTTTATTTCTGTCGCACCCACCATACTATGAATTGGGTACCTCCCTGTATTGCTCCTTTTGCACGGGCTACTAGGAAGCTCACAGGTGGCAAATCTGTAGCCCAACCCCAGCACGGGGAGCACGAAAGCAGGGCCTTGCCTCAGAGGTCACAGCATGGCATAGCTTGGGGACACTCATAACCTTTTCCATTCCTGCCCTTACGTGTGCTCAGGCTTTGAGTTAGGATGGCCTAGTTCAACCCCGAGCTCTGCCGCTACTGTCTGTGCAGTCTTGGGCCAGCTGCCTCACTCCTCAGCTTGTGACAGGGGTACTGTTACTTCCCTAAGTGCTTGAGTAAGTACTTCTGGCTCATCACCCCGTCAGAGATCTCTCTCTCACACATCCCATATTCCCTCCTCATGGTTTGGTTGTTAGGGGACAGGGCCCAAGAACCAGGGCTGCATCCCAGCTCTGCATCTTACCAACTGCGGGGCTTCGAGCAAGTCCCTCCACCTCTCTCGCCCTGGGCTTCCCCACCTGTAAAACAGAGGCGATGACCCCTCTCTCACAGAGGGGCGGACGCTCTCCATTACTGAGAACAGCGCCGGGGGGACGTTCACCATTGCTGCGAGCGGGCTGTGCAGTTTGCAAACGCAGCCTTGTCGGGCGCTTGCAACTCCAGCAGCAGCAGAAGCTGCTATGACGCTTATTTCTGATTCTCACAGGAGGGAACCGAGCTTCAGAGAGGTCGGATGGGTGAGGTCGCACAGCACCGCACAGGCCCACCCTCCCAGGCCCGGGCACGGCGAGCCCCTCCCACTATTTGGGGGCTCAGGCACCTTCCTGCCCCCCCCCCGCAGGCTCCCAGCTGCCCCTTGAGGTTCCACACCGTGGGGCTATGAGAGGCCGTGAAGTCGCCAGCTTGCTGTTGGTCTGTTTCCTTAATCCACGGCTCTCATGCTGGGACAAGAGACAGCTTAGAGCGGCAGGTGACAAGCAGCAGCAGGACCAGGTGGGGAGAAGTTGGGGTGGGCAGGGAAAGAGAGAGACCCCCCCCACCGGCCCCCCAACAGGCCTGTCCCCTGAACCACGTGCGTCCCAGTGAGCTGGACAAGAGGCGCCAAGAGACTCAACATCTGGCCCCAAAAACACCTGCTGCAGGATGGCCGGAGCAGAAGGAGGGCAGGGCGGGCTTCCAAAGAGAAAGGATGGGACTCGGAATCAGAGACATGGCCGTGGCAGTGACATGCCCTACTGTCCCCCACCACCTGCCCTGACAGCACGGGCTCCACTTCCACCACCACCACCACCCCCCCCCCCCCCCCCCCCCGCCCCCCCCCCCCCCCCCGTGCCTGTGTCGCCACCGGGACCAGGTCAGGGAGGTCAACAGGGACACTCCCCAGCCCTGAGTGTCTGGTGTCCCGGTGCTGTGGTCACAGCCACCCCCAGAAGCACGAGGGAGGCAGCCCCCCTGCTCCCAGGCACTGTCCCAGGCCTCACCCCGCAGCCTGAGGAGGCTTTGACCCCCTGGGACACTCATGGCCCCACGAGCCTCTCCTGAGTAACAACTGTCACAGATGCTGTTGGACATCTGCGTATTATTCGCGAATAAACTAACCCACCAGGGCCTGCAAGCCAGCCAGAGTGGCTTTGCGCACCCAGCCGCAAGACCTCAGAGTCAGCAACGAAAATGCTAGAAGCCGGCGAGGGCGGCGACCAACAGAGGGAAAGGCTGTGCCTGCACCCCAGTACTTGAAACGCCCAGAGGCATGGAGAGAAAGAGAAGTGATTTGTGTCTGCGCGCTCTCCCGACCCCCTGGGTGGTACCCTGACCTGGGATTAGGAAGAAACAATGACACAAACCACCCAAAGAAAACCAGTTAATCCGGGCAACCTCAACCTCTGAGGCAGGCGCTGGTTTTTTTAAGATCTCACCTGCCCCTCCTCACAGCGCCTCTCTCTGACTTGCTTTCAGATGTTAAATGCACTGGGGACCTGTTAATTTGATTCTGCATTTAGCACACCTGATCTTCCCAGTAATTGCTTTCGTTGGCTCAGCCGCACGCTAGCGGGCACCTCCACAAGCTGGCAGATGAGCATTTATTTTATTGTGAGATGTACAGCAAGCCCGGAGATGCTACAGCCAGATCATAAATTAATCTCCAAGCTGCTGTCGACAACACAGGTCCTCGTCCCACAGCGCTTCCCAGCAGTGGTCGGGTCTAGAGGACACAGTGCATCACACTGGACGAGAGATGGGCTGAGAATCCAGAAACGGGGGTCACTGCTTCCAGCACTGCTGTGTGACACTGCACAAGGCAGCATCCCACTCTGGGCCTCAGTTTCCCCATGTGCAAAAACGTAAGAGCTAAGCCAGATGCTTCCTTCGGCTGAGGCAGAGTATGGTAAGAGGAAGGTAGAATTTGAAGTCTCTTGGGTTTGAATTCTCTGTTTTCTTAATTTCTCTGCTATTTATTATCTTAGCAACTCTGGGCAAGAGACTTAATGTCTGGCAGCCTCAAATTCTTCTTGGGTGAGATGGGGCTGATAACAATACCTAACCAGCCTTCCCACATTTCCCCGCCCTTTCTAGGCTGCTCTCTGAACTGCAGCCAACATGAGCTTCTTAGAACACAAATCTGATCATCATAGCGTCTCCCTCCTTAAAAGCTTTCAATGGCTCCCGAGTGCCCTCCGGAAAAGACAGACTTTTTAATCTGGCAGATTAGCCTCATCTACCAGGCTCCCCTTGCAATCCTCTCCCATTCCAGCCACACTGGCTGTTCTGCTTTCTCACCACGTTCCCTTCTGCCACAGGCCCTTTGCACATGCACTTTGCATTCAAAGAGCGCACTTCCCACCTTTTCCACCAAATTGGCCATGCTTTAGCCTCATTCAAGCCTCACACCAGCCTCACTCCCTCACTCCCTTAGTGAAGCCTCTCCTTACTCCCAACCACAACTGTAGGCCTAGTAAAGACTCACAGCCCTGTGCATCTATGTCCCCTCTGTCGCACCTGTCACAGCTGTAAATTTACATCTGCCTATTTGATGAATAAATTAAATCCATCACAGGCCTTCAAGTTCCACGAAGGGAGGAATCATGTTGCTTAACGACTAACACAGTGTCTGCAATAACACTTACAATGAATATAATAAAATCCAACAATGGCCAACATTTATTAAGCAATGTCTATATGTCAGACACTTCCTCACAGCCCTGAGAATTAGGCTTCATTATTATTCTCATTTAACAAAGGTCTGAGCCACAGAGAGGTTAGGTAATTTGCCCAATGTCACACAGCCCCAAATCACACTAATCAGTGGTCAAAGCGCAGAAGTCTGCTTACTGACAGACGACTGAAACCCTTTCACTCAGTAAATGAAGCAGGGCCCAGGGAGCAGATCTTTAAGCGAGGAGGCTGTCGCTGCTTAAATACTTAATAATAATAATGATAATGGTTCACAGACATTGAGTATTGATGATTAATGATGTGTCCAGTATTATTCGAAGGACTTTTACATGAATTAACTCATTTTCTCCTCCCAACAGCCCTATGAGGGAGTAGCACCGTTATCCTCATTATTAAACGGTTAAGAAAAATTGAGGCCAGGAAAGATCAACTGACATGCCCAAGGTCACCGGCTCACGGGAGGTGGAGCCAGAATCTAATCCACCCAACTCCAGAGTGTGGGAAACGCCAGCTCTGTGGCGCTCAAGGAGGACCCGGCTCCGGCTCCACACTAGGAGAACGGGAACGAACCCTCCACTCCACCACGGTGCCTGCGCTCGGATCCACTGGTGAGGAGGCCTGTGCTCCTTCTGCCGCTGGGCCTACCCAGCTAGGCAGAGCTGTCCCCTGGAGACCATGAAGCCAGCCACTGCCCTGGGGCCTACCCTGGGAGCTGATGGACGGCTGAGCAGTGACTCATGGCGCGGCCGGGGAGGAGGAAGCTGGTGGGGGCTAAAAAAAGTCCTGGGACCACATATTATAGGCGAGGACGGTCATCAACCATAACCACCAGCACCAAGGCAAGCCCTGCCCGCCACCCCACACGCCCCTGCGGCTGCACTGGAGTCTTGCTCATATAGCCCAGACTGCACCCCTGGGCTGTAGCCGTTCAGAGCACAGGCTCTGGAGCCCAAATCCCAACTCTACCACTTCAGTAGCTACGGCACCTTGAACCAGTCGCTAAACTTTTCTGAGCCTCAGTCTCCTCCCTAGTGAAATGGGGCTAAGAAACACCCACGTCACAAGAACAGCACAGAGAACAGCGTAGTGTATAGGGAAGGCCTAGCATAGTACCTGGCTCGGCAAGTGGTCATTCCCCTCTGGATAAAATGCAGAGATGGTAGGGGGAAAAAGACAGCCGCACATGATACAGTTTTCCTGGAGCACTCACTCTTTCAGATTGATATTTTACCCATGCCTGAGAGCTTCACACCTATTCACTGTTAATCCATTCCACTTTCAGTACAGGATGATGCTATCAAGAATAATAAAGATAAAGATAAGAGTTATTAAGTGCATGCCATGAATAAGATACTGACATAAATATTTTGCATCTATTATATCATCTTAATCCTCGCAGGCATTCTGTGAGGCAGACCAGAGCAGCCTGCATAATTTAAATCTGGTCCAGCCACTTACAAAGCCATGTCATGTTAGGCAAGTTCTTTACACTTTTTGTTCCTCAACTTTCTAACCTATACAATGGGGATACGAATAGCACCTGCTTTGTAAAGTTGTTGAGATGGCTAGCTCTCTATCCAGAATTGTGGGTGTGGGTGGCAGCCCTGCCAGGGACCGTAATTCCCAGCTCCCTTGCATCAAGTTGAGGTCATGTGACTGAGTTCTGGTCATTAAAATGTGGAAGGAACTGATGTACCCACATTCAGGACTATCCCATAAAAATCTCCCGCATGATCCTCCACACTCTCTGTCATCTTCAATCAGAGAAGCTTCTGGGAGTCATGTGTTCTAGATGGCAGAGCCTCTATCAACTTCCATGGACAGAGCACCTCCTTCCTCTGCTGTCAACTGAACTCCGCATGAACAAGAAAACAACTTCTATCGTGTTCAGCCACTAAGATGTTGGGATGTATCGTGATGTATCAGCTAGCATCACCCTAATACAGAAGTTAGTTCCAGAAGTGGGGTGCTTAAAACACATGACTTTGGCTTAGAAGTCAGGTAGCAAGTTATATTAGAGGCTGGAAAACTGAAGACCCAAGTCATACAGTGGTAAAAATGTTTGGTTAAACTGTCATCTATAATAACTTAGCAGTCAGAACTCATGCTACTAAGCCTGTGAGCGCTAGAGAAAGAGACTAGAAAAAGTGACAGTCATAGAGTTTGCTAATTGTTCCTGGCTGAGGTTAGCCAGGTATTAGGGAAAGACAGGAACTCAGGCATAAATTAAGCCAATATGCAAGTAAACTTAAAAAGGAATGGAGAGGTTAAAAAAAAAAAAGACAACTATGTATAGATCCCAAACATGGAGTAAATATCAGGATACAAGCTTCCCACCTAAGCCTGATGGCCTTATGGTGGCTGCCATTAAATTGAGAAAGAGAGGTATGTGGATAAGGAAGTAGAAAAATAATCCAGGCTTGAGAGTTAGGATAGGAAATAACCTGGGTGTGGCTACCGGCACAACACACATCATAGATGAAAATCCTACTAAGTTGTTGAGGGAGTTATATTGGAGAAATCGATAAACCTTGATTTTAAAAGTCTTTTATCATTACAGCATTAAAACAATCCTTGGACCCTTAAAAGTTCAAGTGCAAGAACTAGGTTACAAGAGACTTATAGCCCCTATGGAGGCCACACTTTCCAAGACCTACTTCAGGCGTGGCCACAGAAACAATAATAATGGCAGAGCTGAAAGTGTGGAGAACAATTAACCAGTATATTCTTCCCGCAGAGAAGAATCAGGGCCGAATCCGGGGATTTCACCTATTGCGACAACCACACGCCTGCTTGGTGAAATTTTATAACTACTAAGGACCAGTGACCATGGTGTGTCTTCCACTGTTACGTTTTCCAAATGGCAGTTTTACTGTAGTTGTTCTGCCCTGCTCCAATACAAGAGTGGCAGATAATGTGTCTTTTGGGGCTCACAGGTCCCTGGCCCATGAGGATCCACACTCAGCTCCATGGATAAAACTGAGCTTCGCCCAAAGATCCTGAACTTTAAGAAGGAAACAGTGATCCGACAGAACATGGATTCCACTCTTAGGGAAAAGAGAAAGTGTTTTGTGTGTAAGAAGAAGGGTGCACCAGATAATTGGTGGCTGGAGAGACAATGAGACATCTGGCCAACAATATATGGGCACAAGTGACATAGGTCCCTTCCAGCCTATACCACCTTTCTTAAGATCCTCTACACTCACTTTCTTCCTGTATTTATTGGCTGGAGGAATGTCCAAGGAATGGACTGAAGGCCACATGTTGAAGATAACAAAGGCAAAATCACCTTAATCAGTCTTGGTACCTAAATGACCCTCCCACCTCCTCCCACCCACTCCTCTCCCAATCAGAGTTTAAGTGAGTAAGAAACAACTTTTGATTGTGTTAAGCTCCTAAGATTTGGGAATTGTCTTTTATAATAGCTGATGAAACTGTAATAATTATAACATATAAAGCTCTTAAAACAGTGCCTGGCATATAACAAGCTATACAAGTGCAGCTATTACTATCACAATACCTATTTTACGGATAGAGAAACTGCAGCTTACAGGTGTGTCTGACTCCAGAGTCAATTACTATTATATTTACTTAGATGATAATCAGACCAATTTCATAGAAGAATTTGGTGCCTGGCTCAAAGCCACAAATAATAAACCACTTAGAGTCTTTCCTCCTATTCAAAGACCATCACCACCCTGTCCTTGACTCCAGGTCTCCAGGTTGGTCCCTCATTGTTTTACTTTATTGTTATTGTTATTTTACATGTCAGAAAACATCCAACTTGCAAATACTCCAGCACTGAACTGATAAGTCCACATAGAAAACCAAATAACCCTCTCCTGACCCAAATTCTAAGTTTTAATTTATATTGAGCCAATTAATTAAAAACGTGCTCTGTGAGCACAGACGCTGCTATAGCTGTCTCTTGACATAGCTTTTGCTGTTCCTCTTAAGAAGCTGGGTTTCTTCTGTGACATTTTTGGTCCAGCACAGCAATGCTGCACCACGGAACAGCACGATCAGCTCAGGGACAGGAAAGCTGCTGAGCAAGCATTCAGTGCAGAAGCAGAGCCTATCTGGCAACAGAAAGCAAAAGACCTAAAAGCCAACCTACCACTAAGCCAGTGCTGGCAAGGCAAGGGCTCGTGTTAATTAATGTTTATAAAGCGACTGGGGATCCCTGACATAACAGAAACTATTCAAAATCCCCAAAGTTTTATTATCACCAGCCCAAGCAATGTTTTCTAAGGAAGGCATCATTATCAAGTGCCTACTATGTAGCAGGCGTCTTCACACACTCTATCTGATTTAATCCTTGTAATCACCCTATGTGGTAGGCTTAGGCTTTCTTCCTTTACTCATGCCTTCTTCTTTTTTGTAATTCTCACTGTACCGATGAGAAAACCAAGTTCAGCAAAATGAAGTCACTTTCCAGAAAGCGACAGAGCCAAAATTTGAGGCTAGATCTTTCTGAGTGTAAGCTCTTTCTCTCTTTCCCTTTCATCACACCACACTGCCTCTTCCAGTCTTCCTTTCCAACTCTT